AAAAGTCTTAATTAAAAGAATGAAATACAAATGAGGTGGCAGACCTGTTTTCAAATCTGGAATTGAGGGAAGTAGTTGATTTGAAGAGTCAAAACTTAGTATCCATGGCTAAACCCGTTGTTTATAAACCAATGAAAGTTGAAATCTTTGAAAATCCCTGCAAATTTTGGTCCAATTACTTATAAACTTAACCACTGCTGCCAGTAGGAGGAGGAGCTTTTGGCCCTGAATGTTTTCGTTGATGAAGTTGTTGTTGCATTGCTTGATTCTGTTGGCTTTGCTGGTGTTGTTGAACTGCTGCAACAAGTGTTCGAACAGCCTCTTCATGACCTTCAAAGCTATCAGCTTTTTTCAAGGTAGGGCCAATATGGCTGATTGTAGAACCAATAGGGCTTCCATTCTGGAAACCAGTTCTAAAGATTTCTGGATCATGACAAAATCTGTTTTTATTGTGTCCATCTCGCCGCTTTGGTGGAAACGTTTCCCAAGAGCGCTGTTTCTGCATGAGACGCTTAGATTTTGATCCAACAACAACTATCAGGGTCTTTCTGTGGTCTCCTGAAAGACCAATGTCTGAAAGAGCTAAGCTTTCACACGAACTCTGCTTGAATACAGAGTCTTCTGTGTCAGATGCTGGGTACATTCGTACCTGACGCAGAGCTGAGTCTGTGCTCCTGTGTCTTCGCGGAGATACTGGTTGGTTTCCCATTGAATCTTTGTGTATGACTGCTCTCACCAAATGGCCTCCAAAGTCAGTTGGAGAGCCAACACTTTTAGCTTTCCGAGTAATAGGATAATCAACTTCCTCCTTCTCACCTGCAGATGCTGGTCGAGATAGTCTGCCACGTCGCTTGACAGTTCCATCGGCGGGTATGTCAATAGGTGTTGAATCATCCCTGTGGACACTGGTTATCTGAGTTGTGGGACGGCGTTGGGGAGGTGGTGGAGGCGGAAGATGCCTACGTGATTGCTGCTGGCGCTGCTCTTGTTCATCTTCAGCTGCAATGACAGTCTGTATGCTGTGGGAAGACCCCATCACTTTTCCACTAAGTGAGTGGTACAGTGAAGCCACTTTTCCTGTAAGAAGTGTTTTTTTATGTAGGTAATTGTACTTCAAAATGTAAATGTGTGAAGTACAAAGCTCCCTTACCTTTCGTTTTTGGTTTCCCTTCATGTCTGTCTCCTTTACCATGAGAGGAGTCTCCACGGCCTTCGGATTTCACCCTCTCCCGTGTAGGAGTTTTAGCTCGACATGGTTCCTCCGGAGACTTCTTACGCTCTTCTTTAGTTCTTACCTATCAACATTAAGCATTAAAAACATACAGAAAACAATTAATCTAGGCGTATTAGTAAATCATGGTACAAATAGTTATAAATAAAAGTTCAATTTGGAATAAATAAATAGTTGTTAAAACTACCTTGCCCATAATTTGGCTAAGTACTGATCCTCTTTTGGATTCTCGTCCCCCACTCATTCCATAACCTGAGTCCAACATGGCCTGAGCTATTAGAGCTTGCTGTTGCTGATCTGGGGTTTCCCTTGGCTCACTCCTATCACGAGGTGACTTAGACCTAGAGCTCTTACTTTTATCCACTGAAGACAAAATAGAAAAGGTGGTAAATAATTTGACAATAAAATCAACACAGCCAAACTTATGAGTTTAAAAGTGTTACTCAGCCTTACACTTAATGTATAGGAGTTTGTCTTGTCCAGAAGATGTAGAGGCATGTCCAGGTGAAGCTCCAGAATGTACTCGGCATTCTCCTTTCCCTACATCTGGATCCTTTCGGAGTCTCCTGAAATAGTATTGAGTTACATGTATTACAGATGAAGCAAGGGTATAGTGCATCTGAGACATATTACGGCAGGTGAAACTTACTCAGCTTGGTGAAGAAAGTTAATGTGTTCCAACACAGATTGTAGGTGAGCTGCTTCTTCAGCAGATGGTTTTGGATGAAGTGCTTGTTGTTGCACAGCTGCATTCTGAGCTTGTTGATGCATTTGTGAAATAGCAATGTCAGCAGCAGACAAAGCCACAACATAGGGCTCTAGTTGGCGGGCTGCATTTGATAAATTCTTCACCTCAGAGGCTAACGTCATGACATCACTCATCTAAAGACAGAAAGTTGAAAAGTTTGATGAAATAAAAAAGTTTGTTGTACAGGAGATAGATAAAGTACAATACTATACATAAATTAGTTGTATGACTCAATTTTATCCACCCAACTTAGCACTATTCCAACGTTACTGAGGGATTCTTACTTGAGCTTGGAAAATCTCTCTTTCTGCTTGCACGCGACAAAGTTGTTGCTCCCAAATGGTATGGAAAACTCCTTGGAGTCTTTCTAGCTCAATCTGATGAGGCAAAACAAAATATTTTAATTTACACAATTTGATTGATTGATTAAAATAAACATGAA